AGTATATCAAGTGAGTGTGGTAAAACCTACTCCCTTTATAACAAAATCATCACACATCCCATCCAGATCATCACATTGCCTTTTATATACTCCCTGGAGATCCTTCTAAACCAAGGTGTGTTTGTAATTTCCATATTTTCTTTGTGATTCCATAATTTCTTTGTGATGTATGGAAGTTCTCAAATTCTATTTTTTTTATTTTATTTTATTTATTTCCTACCTCATTTACTCATAGAAATTTCTACAGTGCAATAATCAGGTCCTAATTGTTTTTCAAGAAAGTGTTCTCCCTTGACATTGGTTTCTGAAGCTTAACTTGTTCAGCTAAAAGAGCTAGACAACATTCTGGGACTTGGAAGAAATTTTTCTAAGGAATTTTAACATTTTATTCACAAAAAAAGTTATTACTATAATATCTGCTTTTTGATCTAGTAGAAAGATCAAGAGAGAAAGAAAGGGTTGTGTTCTGCAAAATTAAGGATTCCTGAGTGTGCTGATCCCACTCTATCGTTTCCCTCAGTGCTCTTATGCAGTATAGTTTTGTTTAAATTTGAGGACTGAATTACTTGTGGAAGTATTTTCTCAATTTTTTCTTTTGAGTTTATAATATTGCTGAATTATATCTGTGTATCTATGCTTATTATGTTTGTTTCAGAATACTAAAATTCTAGTACATTCCAAATGCAGCAGATAAAACACAGATTGAAGTACAATATTTGAAAAGAGGGGTGGCCATTTTCTTTGTCAAGAAGTCTTATATGTTGCTGATAATTTTTTATGTAGCCTAAATCTTTACACCTATAATTACAGAAGTCATTAGTATATTGCCAAAAACATTCCTTACCAAACAGAAACTTTGAAAAAAATGTATGTTTTGTTTTGTTTTGTTTTGTTTTGTTTTGTTTTGTTTTGTTTTGTTAGGCTTTCAACAATGTATTTCATAAAGCCATTGAGCGAGCAGAGGCATCAGATGATATCCAGGAGCGCATCTCCAACTTGACAGAAGCTATAACATATTTCACCTTCATTTATATCAGCCAGGGACTTTTTGAGAGGGACAAACTCATTTTTCTTGGCCACACAATATTTCAGGTTGGAAAAATTTAATTACTTTTATTATTAGCATTAGCATTTCAAAGTTGGGGATGCATTTATTGAAATAGATCAGCATTTTGCAAATTTTTACTGTATGAGTTGAGGTTACTAATATGTATAAAGCTGCAGGATAGATTTGGCAACCAAATTATTAATTGCCATTCAGTGATATATACAAAACAGAAAACAATAAACTTGGAACAAAACAGTTACACACAAAATATCCAATTGGATGTTTCACATTGTCTGTGTTCTGATGGAATAAAGCTTATAATGACTTCAATGTTCCAAATTTCATTGGAACAAAACTTGAAAAGTTTCAACCATGTTTGTCATAGGAAATAATGGGAATTTAGAACCAGTTGATGCTTCCTGCATGGTATTACCACCCCAAATGCAGGAAAATTGGCCAAAGGGATGGCTCGTTAAGTATTTTTTTAAACTTTAAAATAAATCACTAGAGGAAATAATGGGAGTACAACTCTTATCTAGTGAAAATTCTGTTTTCTATTTAAGAAATAGAAAGCTAGAATAAATACCGGGTTGCTCATGAGCCTTTGCTAAAAAGAGCTTTAGCACAAGCAAACTGGGCAATTTAACCAACCTCAGCAGCATTAGAAATATGTGTGAAGCACAGTAATGAATGTATGAACACATTTTTGCTTTATCTACCTGCAAAATAAATCATAGCGCAAAACACCTATAATCCATGACTACCAATCCATGTCAGTTATAACTTCCCTATACAAAAGTTTTTGCTTTTCTTTTAATTACTGTACCTTACTCTCTTACATATTCTCTCTGAGCATGTGCTTAGATTCTACCTTCCTCTTAATATTTTGTTCCCACATCATCTTATCCAGTCTAAACCAATAGCATCAGGGTTCCACTGCTAAATTAGTTAGGCTGGGAGATCTTGGAAAAGACAAGCCACTAAACAATAAATCACAGTGCCTGGAACAGGATACTCAAAACAAGACCACCTATTTATTTATTTAGTTTCAACCCTGAAGCAAATAGCATGTTTTGTTCCTCCGTGAAGAAAACTTAATCTTACCTGTTTTATTTTATACTCATATAATTCAAAACGGTTATTTTGAGGTTAGAACATTTCAAGGTAGGTCCATGTTACTAATCTCTTCAAAGCCCAGCTCCACATACATGGGGGGGGGTTATTAAGTTAATGTAATCGTTAACTAAAACTAGATGGTCAGATCTATGTGTAGATATCATTACGTTCAAAGTAAGAAATTACATTGGCACTACAAAACAAGAGCAAGAGCTGAGGTAGTCCTTTTGAGAAGGAGCAACTGGAAACTAGGGCAAGCATAGAATGGAATATTTTACTTTGACGCTCTATTCTTGTATCAAAAGCAGAAATAAATGTCTGCCTAAGGAATTAGATATATGCAAAAGTTAATGGTCTTATAATAAAAATGGTAATTATACCTGTAATAGAAAGAAATATGTCTTAGCTGCCCAGAATTATAACAGATTGGGGTAGCCTATAAATTTCATAAAATGAATGAATGAATGAATAATATGTATTAGCAGACTAAAGTTAATGGCTTTATATTTTTGTTCACTCTTTACTTCCTAGATTTTGTTGAGGAATAAAGAAATAGAACCCACCGAGCTGAATTTCTTGCTACGATTTAAAGTTGAACATACTTATAAAAGTCCAGTTGACTTTTTAACAATTCAGCCATGGAGTGCTATTAAGGTAAGCACAGAAATACTTTTTTCTGAGATTTCTTATCTCAGGATACTGCAAAAGTGCAGCACTTCCTATGTCTGAGTGATTGTTAGCTTAATCATGAGCACTTTTATTTCAATACCCTAATTCCCCAACGTTTAAATGCACATTGTATTCTATACACTGGTCTAAAATTGCTTTGCTTTGAAGGACATACAGTTTTCAATATATATACTGCATTTCATTTTTCCATCTTGGTTTTAAATAAATACTTTTTAGAAATCTGAAGTGAGAAGTCTATTGAAAGATGACTTAATATTTTCTCTATTAACTGGGGCCTTTAGTTGTGGGGGCATTTAGCTAACATTAACTTATATTCTGAGAATCATGCTTTATACAGTAATTTGCAGTAAAATTGTTGGTACATATGATGGTATTTCTCTCTTGGTCCTAATAATCTGAAAGCCAACAATTCATGCATACTATTAATGCATTACAGGCCATTGCCTTAATGGATGAATTCCGAGGATTAGATAAAGACATTGAAGGTTCTGCCAAGAGATGGAAAAAATGGGTGGATTCAGAATGCCCAGAAAAGGAAAAACTACCCCAGGAATGGAAAAATAAAACTTCTTTCCAGAGACTTATTATACTACGAGCATTACGCCCAGATCGGATAACTTACGCTCTGAGGTATAAAGTCTGATTTGGGGGAAGAGGACCAGAAATTTGAATGGGTATATTGTGCTGTATTCACATGTTCATCTGCATGTTTGAACATGTTCATCTTATGCTGTTTAGCACTCTACAGTGAAAACAAAGGCTCAGTTGTAATGAATCTGGAGTAGCAAGCTTTATATAAGCACACATCCAGATAGCACTAACCATGTTTTAAAGGTATTAATCTATTCATATCTAGCTGCTTGTCTCACAGATCTGCCTGTTCCATCACATCTTTTTTTTTCCAAGGTTGCCTATTAGGAATAGAACATAGGGTGTGGTGGAAAAATCACATGGCAAATGATACATATGAAGTAAATATTACATAGGAGCAGTCTTCATACTTTATGGATTTAAAATGTCAATTCAGACAGGTCCTCATGGTTGTGAATTAGGACCTAGGTTAATGGCTTCTAATTCTGATTTATATGTATGTACATATTTCTATAGAGATTTTGTAGAAGAAAAGCTAGGTTCAAAGTATGTGGATGGCACAAGAATAGACTTGGCTAAGTCCTATGAAGAAAGCAATCCAGCTACTCCTGTGTTTTTTATTCTTTCTCCTGGGGTGGACCCTCTTAAAGACATGGAGACACTTGGTAAGCCTTATTTCATTATACAAATATTGTATTGGTTTAACATTATGAGGATCTGGAAATTCAGCAACATAAATTTTCCCTTCTCTCAATCTCAAAAAGTTAACAGAATGCAAATCAGAAGTTTGTGTATTAGTAAAGTATGTACACTTCTTATATTCCTTCTCTGAGCGGCAGAATAAATAATTTTTGCTTTCATAGTTCTTGGACAACTACCATGAACATGTGAACCTCATCAACTAAAGACCAATTTACCGTATTTTTCTGACTATAAGACGATACTTTTTTCTAAAATCCTTACGCTAAAAATTGAAGGGCGTCTTATTCAAGGAAGTCAGCCAAGGAGAGAACCGCGCAGTGGCAAAACTGCCTATACTTTGTCTCTGCAAACAGACTTCCTCCTATTTCCAGCCTCCAATCACGAGTGAAATAGCTTGAGTCTGCAAACAGACTTCCTCCAATCACGAGTCCAATCACGAGTGA